ATATATATAATATATATATTATATATATATGTGCATGCATGCGTTTTGTATTGCAGCAGGGAATGTAATGGAAGCCCCGCTGCGCCCTCCTTCAATCCAACAGTCTCCGCCTGCAACAGCTGCTGCTGGACCCGTTGCTGCTGCTGCTGCTGCTGCTGCTGCTGCTGCTGCTGTTGCTTCTGGTCCTCCGGTGCATTACCACCAACAAACGCAGCAGCAACTGCAGCAGCAGCAGCAGCAGCGGCAGCAACTTCAATGGGTCTCCCAGCAGCAGCAACAGCAGCAATATCTGCAGCAGCAACAGCAGCAATATCTGCAGCAGCAACAGCACCAGCAGCGGCAGCAGCAGCAGCAGCAGCAGCAACAGCACCAGCAGCAGCAGCAGCAGCAGCAACAGCAGCAGCAGCAGCAACAGCAACAGCCTGCAGCTTCTGCTGAACATCCAACGACTGCAAGAGGGTTTGGTCTTCTTAAAGAACCGCCTCAAGACGTCGATCTCTTGGGTATTGTATTTCATTTAACCCTAACCCCCTTCTCCTCCCTGCAGCAACTGCCTGCTGCTGCTGCTACTGCTGCTGCTGCTGCTTCCACCGCTGCTGCTGCTGCTGCTTCTTCCGCTGCTGCTGCCGCTGCTGCTTCCACCGCTGCTGCTGCTACTGCGTCCACCGCTGTTGCTGCTATTGTTTCCGCTGCTGCTGCTGCTGCTGCTGCTGCAGATTTGGCTGGTTCTTCTGGCTGCCCCTCCCCTGGGGAGACAGCAGCATCAGGAAGTGGAGGAGGAACAGGGGGGCCCCCCTCAGCTGTACCCTGTTTGAGTTCGGGGGCCCCCAGTTGTTGCAATGCAGAAGTAGAGCAGCTAAATGCTGCTTTCTTCAGTGATCTACCTCCTACGCCAGACTTCCCTGTGCATGCAGACGGGCCCCCTGATGCACCCTATGAGGGTACAGAGGGGCCCCCACCTCTGGGGGCCCCTGAGGGCCCCCTACAGCTGCCTAGACCTGCTATACAACCTCCACTTATGTCCAATGCCTGCAACGGAAGCTCCTCTAAGCAGCAGCAGCAGCAGCAGCAACAGCAGCAGCAGCAACAGCAACAGCAGCAGCAGCAGCAGCAGCAGCAGCAGGAACAGCAACAGAGGCGAGGCAGCAGCACCGAAAGAGGGCCCCCACAGGGAGATAATAAGGGCGGCCCCCAAGAGGGAATGTCTAATAGAAAAGACCCCTTTGCTGATTTAATGAATTTGGCTTCAGATAAACTCAACATTTCCTTGTCGCTGCGGCGGCAATCGGGAGAAAACCCTAAACCCTAAACCCTCAGCAGCGTCTAGGGTTTAGGGTTTAGGGTTTAGGGTTTAGGGTTTAGGGTTTGGGGTTTGCGACGGAATAGCGTCGGGCCCCAAAGCAAACAACAATGTATATGCTTCGGGTATATTGAAACAAATGCAGTTGGTTTAGCTCCCTTCTTTTTTTTTCTTTCGGTGTATGTACACCGCAGGTGGCAGCGTATTGTGCGTGCAGTGCATGCACTGCATGCATGCAGTATATTTTAGAAACCAAGACAAGGCCCCTCTCTATTCTTCTCGGGGACCCCTCCCTGTCTTTAACCCTTCTAAGGGAAGTTTCGATAAACCAATCTCCCGCTGCTGCTGTTGTTGCTGCTGCTGTTCCTGCTGCTGCTGCTGCCTTTCTCTATAGCGAGTTGAGATGCCTGACACACCACGCACATCGGGTGTACCAGTACTGCTGCTGGTGCTGCTGTTGCTGTTGCTGCCAGCAGCAGCAGCAACACTGGGTACGGCGTTAATTGGGGCTGCCCCTAAAAAATAATAATAAATGTTACTATTAATATTGAATTAATGCTATTGCAGACGTTTCTAAATGGAAGCCTTTGTGCAGATTTAGACAGAAGACGGTGTACAACTTAATACTGCGGCTGACTGCAGCACACTAAAGAATATGCGTTCTAAGAAAGGGCCTTAACTAACACCGTACCAACTGTTGTTGCTGCTGCTGCCTGCAGTAACAGCAATAGCAGCAGCAGCAGCAGCAGCACCGGGGTGCCCCATGTGAGTGGTGTGTAAGGCATCTCAACTCTGCAGGATCTACCATCAAATATACGGAAATACTCAAACAAAGAGTTTGGAGCGATGCTTAGAGCAAAGATTTAAAAGAGCTGTACGCGTTTGTGCTTTTCTAAGAACGACAGACACCGTTGGTTTTGTTGCTTCTATCCTACAGCAGCAAATTATAAATGAAGTTGGGGGCATAAACACAAGAAGTTCTTTTAAAGCATATTTTCTTCTGCTAGTATAAAATGAGGTGTACAGATACCGAACAGCCTTTGACGTCCTATGGAGCAGAAACCCGATGCAGATCAGCACCATCTCTTCGATTTGTGCGGTTCTTGTGGTGATTTTCTCCAGATCTTTCGGTAAAATGGAAATATATTAAAAATAAATTTTATCCGTTCAAAAATTTCAGCGATTTTGAGTTTAATTTGGCTGTTTTCCACTGCTTTCCATAGCCGCCGCTGAGGTGTACAGACACCGGACAGATCGACTCGCGGGCGCGGGGGTCCAGCGCAGAATTCCGTTCTGAATGGAAGTTTCTTCTTTTGTTTTTTTCTTTTGACGCATTCAGGGCTTTTAAAGCCAATTCCTTTTGTACAAATTCAATAAAAACAAAGAAAACCTTCCGGATTTTCATACTCGTTTCCGCTCTCTTGCATCGGTGGTTCATAGAAGTCGCTCGTCGGCTATCGAGACGAAGGCAGCGAGCGGCCTCTTGCTACTGAAGGAGAAACAACTTCATTTTCCGCATGCATTGCCTTTGATTTCTTTTTATTTTTCTTCTATTTGCTTTTTCCAGCAATTGCAGCTCCACCACCTTCAAGAGGGCGGCTCAGACAGCAGATCGTAGCCTGAGACGGCAGCGTTTCCGTTCACACGAGGAGTGTCGATAGCAATTGACGAATAAATGCTCTCTTCTTTTCCTCGTTCTTTTTGTTTTAATTGAATGCTTCTTCTACCGCATCTTCGATACAGCAGACAGGCGAATAATTCGCCTCCATACGCCGCCTCAGCAGCTGCGCAGCTTTAGCTGCAGCCGACTGTACAGGCAGCATCCGCTCTGTCTTTCGACTTCCCCTAATCGCCGTTGTGAATCCCTTTTTAATCGCCTTTCTGTGTCTCTGCTCCCAGGCTGCCCACGAGCTCCATGCCTGAGTACAACCAACCAGAGGCGCGTCGAAGACTTGCCCTTAAGTTTTAGGGTTTAGGATTTAGGTTCTAGGGTTTAGGGTTTAGGGTTTAGGGTTTAAGGCAGCAGCATGGCCATGGCAGACATGGGCTGGATGGACATTTGCATAGGGGGGGGCGTCTCCCCCCCTCAGGTAAATTTCGGCTCTTCTCACTTGCAGGCAGTGGTTTCCGAGTTGGATGTAGTCATAAGAGATGTAGAAGGTGCGCTGCAAACCCTAGCCCCCAAACCCTAAACCCTAAACCCTAAACCCTAATCTTTCTCTTCTCCCCCCCCCAGAAGTAGAAGCATCCTCAGTTTTGATTTTTTTATGCGGCCGGATGAGTTTCCTTTCTTCCTGCGCTGCAGGGGTTAGCTTCTAGGGTTTAGGGTTTAGGGTTTAGGGTTTGTGTGTGTGCAAAGGTTTAAAAGACCAACTAAACGCTCTACAGCAACCCAGCAAGGATCTCTCGGTGCGAGCAGCAGTAGAAAAAGAACTCAGTCGCTGTCTGCAGCGCTGTGAACAATTAAACAAAAAGTGGGAATTCGAAGTTGGAGTGCTAAGTGAAGATCTAAAAAGGCTCAAGGCAGACGGTGAGCTGTACATACACCTCAAATTAGATGCATATACACCCCAAATTAGATGCATATACACCCCAAATTAGATGCATATACACCCCATATTAGATGTATATAAACCCCAAGTTGAATGCAGCTATGCACCCTAAATGAACTGCATATATACACATTTTAAATTAGATGCATATACACCCCAAATTAGATGCATATACACCCGAAATTAGATGCATATATACAGCCTAAATGAGCTGCCGATACACCCCAAACCATCCCACCATGAGAGCCGAAGTGTTTTCAGTGCGCCAACTATAAGTAGACAACAGAGTTTGAAAGTTAGTGTATAATTTATGCACTTAGGGTTTAGGGTTTAGGGTTTGTGGTTTGTGGTTTGTGGTGTATGCAGAGATAAAGGAGCTGCGTGTTTCAATGTCTGAGCAGCTGTCTCGTTTATCTTGTCTAGAAGGCGATGTATCTGTCTTAAGACAGCTGGTTCCTGCTCACGGTGCTGCATTAAAAGCAGCAGATGCTTCTTTACAGTTATTAAGACAAGGAGTAGAGAGAACAGTAGAAGGTCTTCGACAAAATTTAATGTCTGAACAAAGAAAAAGAAATGCAAGAGAAGAACAAACCCTGCAGCAGCAAAGAGAGATGGAAGTAATTCAAACGCACATACACTTTAATAACTTATATATATATATATGTATATAGATATATATATATATATATATATATATATATAGATATATATAGATATATATACATAGATAGATATATAGATATATAGATATATAGATATATAGATATATAGATATATAGATATATAGATATATAGATATAGATATAGATATATATATATTATACTATTCCCAGGGCATTCAATTATCTACTAACAATAAATAGAGTAAATGTATAACAAAACCAACATATATATATGCATATATATATATATATATATACACGCATATATGTATATATATATATATACATATATATATGCAGTCAAATATATATATATATATATGTATGCAGTCAAATATACATATATATATATATATATATATATAACAAGTAAAGCAAACGTAATTATTGCTAGAAATGCAGCAGCAAACAATATAAATATAATGCGTAAAGTAAACATAATAAATACAATTAATACAACGAGAGCAGCAAACTCAACAAATAAAATAAATGCAGCAACAAATAAAAAGAATAAAATAAAAAAATAGAATACAACATAAACAACAAAGACAATAAAAAAACAAATAGAAGAACAAATACAGCCGCCACCATACAATAAATAAAACAAACACAATAATTAAAACAAATAGAATAAACAAAACAAATACAATAAATAAAACAAACACAATAAATAAAACAATTAGAATAAATAAAACAAATAGAATAAATAAAACAAGTAGAATAAATAAAACAAAACAACAAATAGACAAAGACTTTGTCTTTACGATGTCTTTGTTGTTTTTTAGGAAGCACTTGAAGGCCTCCGCTTGGATTTAACAACTCTTAGAAAAAGCTGTCAGCAGAGTCACTCTCTGCTGCTGCAGCTGCAGCAGCAAATCAGCAGCAGCAGCAGCAGCAACAACACTTTTGCAGAAGACGTCCGCACCCTCAAAACCACTGCCCAACAACATGCAGACAAAATCAATGCCCTTAAAAAATCGGTACCCTAAACCCTAAACCCTAAACCCTAAACCCTTATTAACGACATTTCAATAAACAAAGTTTTACACGCCTTTGGGCGCCCTTGCACGAATCACCAACTCCTTCAGAACCACCAAACCTATGGTTTAGGGTTTAGGGTTTAGGGTTTAGGGTTTAGGGTTTAGGGTTTAGGGTTTAGGGTTTGTGTGGGGCCGCTCAGCTGTCTTTAGTGGAGGCTCAAGAAGGAAGAAGAGCGCAGGAAGTGGAGAAGATAATGATTGACTTAGCAGTCGTGCAGACTGCTGTGCAGCAAATCGCTGTCTGTCTCTATTTTATTCTCTTGTTTTTGTTTTAGTTTTTGCTTTCTCTGCTTGTTTTGCTGTCTCTTTATCTGTCTCTTTATCTGTTTCTTTATCTCTCTCTTTATCTGTCTCTTTATCTGTCTCTTTATCTGTTTCTCTATCTCTCACTTTATCTGTCTCTTTATCTGTCTCTTTGTCTGTCTCTTTATCTGTCTCTTTATCTGTCTCTTTATCTCTCTCTTTATCTCTCTCTTTATCTATCTCTTTATCTGTTTCTTTTTCTGTCTCTTTATCTCTCTCTTTATCTATCTATCTATCTCTCTCTCTTTCTCTCTTTCTTTCTCTGTCTCTCTCTTTGCTTATCTGTCTCTTTATCTCTCTCTTTATCTCTCTTCATCTGTCTCTTTATCTGTTTTTTTGTTGTTTGGTGTTGCAGTCAGCACAGTTGTTTATTGTCTCCTTCATTTATTTATTATTTGTCTCTTTCATATCTTTATTTTTATTTTTTTCTTTTGTTTGTCTGCTAATTTGTTTTATATCTTTTATATCTTTTGCTGGCTACTCTGGGTTAGTCTTTTTAGTTTTATCTGTCTCTTCTTTTTTATTATTTATTTACTGTCTCCTTTCTATTCATCTCTTTGTCTTCTTTTATTTTCTCTTACTTTCTTTCTATCTACTTCTTCTGTCTCTCTTTCTCTCTTCATACAACAATTGCTTTCTTATCTTCTTATTTCTATTTATCTGTCTCTTTATTTATCTGTCACTCTATCTATCTGTCTCTTCTTTTATCTGTCTCTTCTTTTATTTGTCTCTTCTTTTATCTGTCTCCTTTTCTTTTTTAATAGAACAAAAATACCGACGCTGTGGCCTCTGCTGAAATGGAGAAGATGAAAAAAGATTTAAATCTGCTAGCCAAACAAATTCAAGAAAGTCAAGTGCGTCAACACTTTCGGGTGTATAGGCACCTCCATCAACTCTCAGGTGTATATTCAGCTGCATGCATTATCTCTCAAGTGTATATGCAGCTGCATGCACCACCTATCGGGTGTATACGCAGCTGCATACATTATCTGTCAGGTGTATAGGCAGCTGTATGCAGCATCTCTCAGGTGTATAGGCAGTTGCATGGATTAGCTATCAGGTGTATATACATCCTTTTGCTTGCGTTATAGATTTTGGGTGTATATGCAGCACTATTTTAGTTTGCATTTCGACTTTCAGGTGTATGCATGCCCGCACGATTTATTTATTTGATGGAGTTTCTAGCAATCAGATTTTGTACTGCGTTGTTAGGGTTTAGGGTTTAGGGTTTAGGGTTTAGGGTTTAGGGTTTAGGGTTTAGGGTTTAGGTGCCACACTAATGTGCGTTTGTTGAGTTGGGGTGTCTACAGTTTAGGGTTTAAGCTTTAGGGTTTAGAACTTACAGTTTAGGGTTTAGGGTTTAGGGTTTAGGCGTTGAATAAGTGCTGTGTTGGGGTGTCTGCAGACCCAGACGAAAGAAGAGGCGAGAAAAGAAATAAAACAAATTCGCATTGAGATGCAGACTCTGCAAGGAGAGATCAATCAACTCAAGGTAACAGCAGCAGCAGCAGCAGCAGCAGCAGCAGCAGCAGCAGCAGCAGCAGCAGCAGCAGCAGCAGCAGCAAGGGGCCTTTGTCTTGTGTTTATTTGTCTCTTTTTGTTGCTGTTTGCGTTTAATTGTTTTTGTTTATATTTTCGTTTTTATGTTTTTCTTTAACTGTCTCCTTTTATATATTTATATCTTTTTGTGTTTACTTTGCACCCACTGTCTCTTTTATTGTTAATTTCATCTCTTTATTTATTTTTATTTATCTTTTTTATCTCTTTTTATTTTTAACTGTCTCCTTTATTGTCTCTTCTTTATCTTTTATTTATCTTTTTGTCTCTCTTTGTATCTTTTTATTTTTTTTATTTTTTTGTTTTAATTTTCTGTTTTTCTTTCGCTGTCTCTCTACTTGCTTCTTTTATGCCTCTCTCTGTCTCTCTTTTCTCTAACTGTCTCTTTATTTATTTATGTTTATGTTTAATTGTTTGTTTTTATCTTTAACTGTCTCCTTTATTGTCTCTTCTTATGTTTAATTGTTTGTTTTCATCTTTAACTGTCTCGTTTATTGTCTCTTCTTATGTTTAATTGTTTGTTTTTATCTTTAAGTGTCTCTTTATTTATTTATGTTTATGTTTAATTGTTTGTTTTTATCTTTAACTGTCTCTTTATTTATTTCTTCATATCTTTAATTGTCTCCTTTTTATCTCTTTGTACTTCTTATAATTTCTTTTTTTTATAATTGTTTGTTTTTATCTTTAACTGTCTCTTTATTTATTTCTTTTTTGTTTATTGTTTTAATATTATTAATGCTTTTATATTAACTGCGTTTATATGTTTGAAGGGGACAAGACTTCGTGCGGTGGAGTCGGCAGAGAGAGCAGCAGCAAGTGTTTCTCAGTTTAAACAGTCTCTTGATTTGCTTCAAGTGCGTAAACCCTAAACCCTAAACCCTAAACCCTAACCTCTAAACCCTAAACCCTAAGCCCTAAGCTGTTCTGTGATGTGGGGTGTATTCTGTCTTTTCTCTCAGCAACAATTGCAAGTGATGGCAGCAAAACAGGTAACGAAGCAGCAGCAGCAGCAGCAACAGCAACAGCAACAGCTGCAGCAGCAGCAATAACAACAGCAGCAACGGCAACAGCAGCAAGAAGAGGAGCGAGCGGAGAACAGAAAAAAAATCAAATACACTTAACAGAAGCAAATAAATAAAAATAAATAAATAAACAATAAATAATATATAAATAAATAAATAATAAATAATAAATAATAAATAGGTAATAAACAAATAAATAAATAAATAATAAATAAATAAACAAATAAATAAATAAACAAATAAACAGAGATGTTTAAATATTAGAGTGCTGCTGTCTGTCTCTTGCATATGAGGTGTCTCCTTCTGTCTTTTCTTTTTTTTTCTGTCTTTGTAATTAAATTATCTCTCTGTCTCTATCTTTTTATTTTTATAACTCTTTTCATTTGCATGCGTTTGTGTTGGGGTGTATCTGCATCAGCAACGAATGAAGACAGCTTTAAATAATCAAAAGATGTGCAGCCTTTCTTCTCGCAGCTCTGCTGAGGTGTATCCTCACCTTTCTCTATTTCCTTCAGCAGCAGCAGCAGCAGCAGCAAGCGGCAGCAAACTCGTTACTCTTCCTTCACCAAAGGAGCGGCTGCTGCATCAACAAGCAGCAGAACGGAAGGCCCCGCAGCAGCAGCAGCAGCAGCAGCAGCAGGAACAGCAACAACAGAAGGCAGACAAATCCATTTCCCTTGCTGCTGCTGAAGAAGACGCCCCAGCAGCAGCAGCAGCAGCAGCAGCTGCTGCTGCTGCTGCTCCTGCTGCATTCAATGCTTCCGGCAGTCCTTCTGAGTTGGGCCTCGCTGGAGATGCAAAGACACCCCAGCAGCCCCTTGTAAACTCACCCGTCCAGCAGCAGCAGCACCTGCAGCAGCAGCACCACCACCACATGCAGCACATGCAGCAGCAGCATCTGCAGCAGCACCAGCAGCAGCAAGAGTTGGGTGTTGCTGCTGTTAGAACGCCGAGCAGCCCCCCGCCCTTTTCTAAACCAACTTTGCTGGGGCCTCGCAGCAGAATTGCTGCTGTTTCTTCAAGGAGACACAGCAGCGCAGGAGCACCCCTAGAGCAGCAGCAACAGCAGCAGCAGCAGCAGCAGCAGCAGCAGCAGCAGCAGGTGGACCTCTCGCAAAGGCGCAGGGTCAACTCCAGTCACCATGTCAACCACCAATTGCAGATAAAGCAGCAGCAGCAGCAGCAGCAGCAACAGCAGCAACAGCAGCAAACATTGTTGCGAGGTTATACAGAAGAGAGTGAGTCGTCGGTGTGCAGTCTGCTGCTTCCCTCTCTACTCCTCTTTGCTGCTGTTGTCTCTGCTGTTGCTGCAGCACCATTCTGCCGAATCTGCTGCTACTGCCGCCGCTGCTGCTGCTGCTGCTGTTGCTGCTGAATGCATGCATGCGTGTTTGTTTATTTTGTTTTATCTGCCTCAGGTGGGGAGCAGCAACTGCCTTCGTGGGCATCAGCAAACGAACTTTCTTCTTCCGCTCCGTCTGCTGCTGCTGCTGCTGCTGCTGCTGCTGCTTTGCCTCCTTCAGCTTTGCGTGTGTCTCGCCGCAACAGCAACTCAACAGCGCGCGTCTCCTTTAAAAGCCCCCTCACCCGCAGCCCCAGACAACCAGAAGCAGCAGCAGCAGCAGCAGCAGCAGGGGGAGACAGCCAGCATAAAGCAGCAGCCAGCGACGGAGACAGAGACAAAGGAGACACAGAAGGAGACAAACAAAATGTTAAACAAGAAAACTCAATTCTTGAAGACTTTGTTTATTCTTTTGCAGGAAGAGCATTTAAAAACTCAGCAGCAAAACAAAGCGGGTTTATCTCTGCTGAGAAGGCGCTGCGTTCCTTCGGTGTATTTCTACAATCTGCTGCTGCAGCTAGCAGCAGCAGCAGCAGCAGCAGCAACAGCAACAGCTACACCCCACAGCCTCCAGATCCCCATATGCTGCCTACTGCTTACAACTGGCGACAAGACCAGCAGCAGCAGCAGCAGCAGCAGCAGCAGCAGCAGCAGCAACAGCAGCAGGAGAGAGATACAGTGCAGCAAGGAGACAAGAAGGAGAATGAAGTAGAAATGAAGAACCCCTGGAAAGATAACAGACGACTTGAGGGCCCTTTCAGCAGCAACAGCAGCAGCAGCAGCACACGCACCGACAGCAGCAGCGGAGCCCTCAGTGGCGATCCTCCTACCTACTTCCCCCACCCCACAGCAGCAGCAGCAGCAGCAGCAGCAGCAGCAGCGGCAGCAACAGATTATCAGGGCCAACTCTTTTGGAGCAGAAGCAGCAACACGAATGGAGTAGCAGCAGCAGCTGCTGCTGCAGCAGCAGCACCCGCACCCGCACCGACAACAACCCTCGGAGAAATGCAGCAGCAGCAGCAGCAGCAGCAACAGTAGAAGCAGTAGCAGCAGACAGGAGAGTCTTGAACGCATAGAGAGGGCATACTCCAATCAACATATCCTTCATATCAATAAAAAGAGAATTTGAGGTGTATATACACGTCGTTGCTGCTGCAGTTACAGCTGCTGCTGCTATCATATATTTGCTGCTATTACTTAAACTGCTGTCTCTAAACAAAAAGAGACAATAAACCCTCAACGAGGGGACAATGGGGAGCAGCCAAAGCCGTGAAGGCTTATGGTTTAGGGTTTAGGGTTTAGGGTTTAGGGTTTAGGGTTTAGGGTTTAGGGTAAACCCTAAACCCTTAGGGTTGTCCAACGCTCCCCAAAGACTTCCGACTTCCGACTGAAAAACTTTTTATATAATTATAAATAATAATTGGATTTATAATTAATTAAAATTAAAATTATTATAATTATAATTATTAATTATAATTATTATAATTAAAATATAACAATTAAAATTATTATAATTAAGAAGTAATTAATACTTAGAGCTGGAGTCAATGTTTAAAGAAGACCTGCTAAATAATAAATAATTGCTGTATAATATATATATTATATATAATATATATATTATATATATAATATATATATTATATATAATAT